TTTTCAAACTGATGTATTATCAGATTAGTTGGAAAAGATGAAAACCTCTGATAGTGGAACAAATAAATCCTACAAACTATTCTATTAGGCCTTTTGATTTCTAATGGAAACTTTTGTTATTTACAGATGAATAGTTTAAGTTTAGTATGCTTCTTACGCATCACATATTATTGATATCGTTCAAAAGAAATTCCAAGTACAAATAGATGACAAGTGAACACGTTCACTGGACTCTGAATCGTCTTGTATGGTCAGAAGTTGATTTATCGATGTATTAAGGATAAACTACCACTTAGGTGTAACCTCGCCTAGTTAACTAGTTCACTAGTTACTAGCCGGTCCTACACCCGGATAAACAGGGAAGGTTGGGCATAAGGCTAACAACCCCATCCCGTTAAACCAATCCAACCGCTAAAGAAAATTCAAGGCACAAGCAAAGTATAAAGAATAAAAACAAACTTATTCCTCGCTGGAATCGGAGAGGCGAAATGATGCCAGTTGGTGAAAGCCTTCAGGAAGCCAGTCAGCCGATCTATCTTCTCTCGATGAAAGCGAAAGTAGGGATGGGGACATGGAATGTCTTATGAACCTAGCAAGGCTGCCCAGATTACAAAAGAGATGGGGAGGTATGACACGGAAGTTCTAGAAATCTGCGAAAGCAGATGGAATAGAAGTGAACTCTACAAACTCTTAACTGGAGAGTCAATAATCTTCTCCGATATTGTCACCTAGATGAAAACCACGAGCACACTGAGTTATGGAGTGGCTATCATGATGTCCCCAGCAACATCAAAGGCTCTCATACAGTGGGAACCAATTTCCCCCAGCATCGTAACAGCAAGGTTTAACTCAAAAGGAAGGAAAGTCACAATCATACAATGCTATGCACCTACAAATAATGCAGATGGAGAGAAGAAGGAGAAATTCTATAGACAACTGCAATCAGCACTGGACAAGACTTCAGTTGGTGACATCAAAATTCTAATAGGCGACATGAATGCCAAACTGGAAGGGGGCAACACAGGAAGAGAACTAACCATGGGTCAAGAAGCACTCGGTGAAATGAAGGATGAGAATGGAGAATTGTTTGCAGAATTCTGAGCATTCATTGAATTATTTACACGTTTACTTGGTACACTGAAACTCACTGTACAAGCCACACACATTGTGCAGTTTTTAAATGCATATCTGGATGAGTTCATACTAATAATGTATAATGGATAATACTTAGACGTGCATTTCAGCTAGTTCGGATCTCGTCAACTGGATATATCTACGTCTCAGTTAGTGATGTTGTCTCGAATGAAGCTTGAAACCAAATCCCATTGCTCTAAACATTGAAGGATTGTCTACTAAATTAATGATTCCTTGCAAAATATGTACAGCTTATACATCCTGGTTTTTCAATACTTGAATTTTAGCTCAATCCCGAGTAAACAGCTTTAATGGGATCTTCATTTAAAATGATCATTTGACAGGTTGTCCACTCTAGAGGCAATGATAATACACTAATTTAAAACTGACATCGACGTACACAGGATGCATATTCAATTCTGGTATTTTACAATGTTATTAACCTTCCGTTTTTCTGTTCTCTAAATTTCTTCTCTAAATCATCTTCACTCTGTTTTATAACTTCATGAGTGGCTTTCATTGTCTAGAGATTGTAAGGAAATCAATTTATCGTTTTTGATTTGTCAATATTGGGATGATACATATGCAGAAGAATGAAATAATGGTTAAGCAAAAGGATAACGAATAAGATGAAAAGATTGATCTTTAGTTTGCTGAAGGCTAAGGGATAAGTAACTCTTGGACATATTCTTTCTGAATGCAGAGTTCAGGCTTGATCAATGTTATTGCGATAGCCTCCGCAATGTTGAGCAGGAGTTGGTGACCTACATGTGGTATCATTTTTTGAAACGAGATGTGTGATACTGAACGCTATACTAGCATCTATGTGATGATGCTAGGACTGAACTTTTCACCACTTTCACTTTGGCCTTTCCCAATCAAGCTGGTAAATACTGTCGTATCCGGAGACGTAGCTGCTTAATCGTACGCCCTATGTAACTAGTTTCACAGGAACAGTTAAATTGATGCATGTGAAATGACATGGCATCACATAAATGCTAATAAAGCTTTAAATGTTATTCATTGTGTTCCAAAAACGACACCCCAGGTAGGTCATCAACGACTGCTCAAAAAAGCGGAGGCTGTCAGATTGATCAAGCCTGAACTGTGCATTCAGAAAGAATATGTCCAAGCATTGCTTCTCCCTTGCCATCCAGCAAATAACTAAAGGATTCTCACCATCATATCATTCTTCTACATATAAGGAGGATATTAAGCGCTCTAAGGAGGATATTCTTTACATCAACACAGACTAGTATTCTCTTGTAGCCCAATGATTTCAAACAACTCAGAGGAGAAACTTCCATATCCGACTATTTTCTGTGTGCATATCTCAATTCATATGCTCTTGTGCAGCCAGCTATATAGGATGTTCCATGCCACTGTTATCCAAAAGGGTTCAAGAACACTATCCAGCTTAGTTACAAAGAGGCAACAATGAATCCATAAGGAGTGCTATAACTGAACACACTGTTAACACGAATCCCTCCATCTCAAGAATCTTCTAGTTCAAAGTCATCTATAAACTGAAAAGAAACCTCCCAAAGGTTGTATATCTTCATATTCTCTGCATTGGTCAAGCTCTTATCATTCAAATTGTTAAACTCCTTCTCCTTTCATCATCTTAGTTTTCAGTCTCGTCTACCGTACACCACCTACCTTTTCTTTCCATTTTTCTGTTTTACCACTCTTCATTTGCTATGCTCTGCCTGATCACATTTCACTTTCTAATTATGTCATCGTCATGATACGAAGTTTAATTTTACTGACAGCTCACATGGTTGACATTATGTGTGTTGCCCGCCATGGTTGACAAACCGTTTTCAACCATCAACTATCTTTACACTAGAAGGAAGATGTATAAATTTGTGATTGTGTACAGCATTGAAAATAAAATTGCCTAGAAGAGACTGTTCATTGAAATACCTACTTGTTCCTTCTTTCATATCCTGATGATGATGAGGGTGGGTATATTTCACACATTGAAAGCTGAAATCATTCAACTTTGATCAATAAACCCTACAATCTCTCAAAGGCTTTGATGGAAATGAAACGTAATCAGGTTACCTCTTACATATTCATTTAGCAGACAACAATAGGTCACGCCTATTGTGTATGAGGATTTAATGGTACTTTGTGTACTTTAAAGGCTTGAATACCACCTTTTCACGACTAAGGTAAGGTACATGTTAGTTGGTTGGAAGCAATCAGCAGGAATCCCTTGAACTAGTCTTCGTGATTTTTGGCACTCGTCAGCAAGGTGTATCTGCAACCTCAACGGAACTGATATCCCGCCTGTCTAACATATACTAATGTGCACAGCGATGCTGAGCTTCTTAGCTTGGTTTCCACATTGCAAATATGATCGATAGAATTCTATCTGCACTCAGGACTAGACAACATGAAATTGGCTGCACTCTCGTGACTAATCAATATGAGGTAAGCTACTTCCCAGATGGAATTGAAGCTTATTTAATAAGGAGCTTGACTTTCGATCGATGGTAGCCCACACTTCAAACTTCACCCCCAATGTACGTCATTCTGCTCCACCAACTCAGATAACTAGGCAGTATTATAAGACTTCATACACCGTGTTTATTTAGATCATAGTATTATACATGAATCAGAATGGTGTTGTTGGATTGCATCACCATTACTAATTACATCATTAGAAGCACAGAATCATTCATAACACCGAAAAACATTTACACTTAATCTTCAAACATTTTCCCTACTTGAGTGAATATATATTCAGCAGTGGAATCCATCCAACATGAGCGTTTCGTTTTATTTGGGAGTCGTCAACTGGATGTACCTAAATCGGAGTGAATGATTTTGTTCTCACTGAGACTTCAACCAACAATGCATCATTTTAAACGCTAAAGCGTTACCCACTAGATCGGTGGGGTATATGGGGCATTTGTTATGCGACGGGGTTATCATCTATTCTTTGTTAATACTTTCTATACTGGGTTTAACCTCGCCTGGCTAACTAGTTCACTAGTTACTAAGCGGTCCTAAGCTCAAATAAAGAGTAAAGGTTGGGTGAAGGGGCTACCAACCCTATCCCGTAAAACCAATCCAATCGATAAATAAATAAACTTCAAAGCACAAAGAAAATATAAAACATAAAAGCAAAGTTATTCCTCCCTGGAATTGAAGAGATGAAAACCAGGATCGGAAAAGCAAGACACGCTTTCATTAACCTAAAACCAGTGTGGAGATCTTCTGCACTCCACTCAGCATAAAGCGTGAACAACATCCGGATTTTCAACACTAATTCAGTCAAGTCAGTGCTTCTGTATGGCTCAGAAACTTGGCGCGTCAAGAAAAGCATTTCCAACAAACTACAGATATTCATCAACAGCTGCCGCCTACGCTCATTTGATACTGAAGATCAGATGATAAGGCGAGAAAGAACAAGCAACAAGGAACTTTGACCTAGCAACGAACCAACCAAGAACCTATCGCTGAACAAATACGCACTGGAAGGAAGTGTAGATGGATAAGGCATCCACTGAGAAGGCCAACTGAGGACATCACGCGTCAGGCCAGGCCATCGAGTGGAACCCGTATGGAAAACGTCGAGTTGGACGTCGGAGTTGATGGTGACATGGAGGAGATCATGTGAGGAAGAAATGAAAGGTTGTAGGCAGTGGTGCAGCCAGGTTAGGAGAACTGAAGAGAAGAGAGGGAAATGGAGGCGTGCTACTGAAGCCTTGTATGTTCCACTAAGAACCCAGCGGAAAAATAATGATAATAATACTGGGTTAAGTTACTCGACTTCAAAGATTATTCAAAGCAAAAGAAACTGAGAGACAGATATGTAAACAAAATAAAATGTAAGCATTGAAATCATTGATTACCTTCCGTGAGATAGCTACATCAATACCGAAATCCTGTGTACGAGTGGCCATGATAATGATGACTTCTGAAGGAATTCGAAAGTGATTTGATAAACACTGGAATTAAACAAACTTCTTGTAACTTCACAATTGAATTGTTATAAATTCTAGTAGTGGTTGAACACTATCAATTGAAAGAATGCACCAACACACACACACACAGGCTTACAGTATATAATCCAATTTCCTATCATCGATCATTCATTCATGCATCCAGCGGCCTGACTGACTTATAAATTCGTGATGTAGACATATATTGAAATTTTTGTCTGCTTGCAGGTTTCAATTTACACAATACCTAGAATCAGACCCCTCGTACCCTAAAGCCTAACTTATATGCACAACTTCTTGTCTGGTTACCATAGTTGAATATTATTAATAAAGGTAAGATAGAAAGTAATTGTAGTTATACTTCCCCTTACACAAATATTTTACCAATTGATGGTACATTTACCGATTTAATTGGTATCCCATTATGTTTGTGTGCTTTATATGAACCAATTGTTTCAGTGCCCATCAGTTAGGTAACCAATTGGGACGTGTATCTGAAGATTTTGAAAGATTATACATGAGTGTGTGTATGTGTCTTTTTCCCTTTTTCCACATAAAAATTGATTGAATTTGGAGATTAGTAGGGATTTATTGATTTCAGGTTAATATTCATCATAGGCTTATGACGACGCTATATGCCAAATAACTCAAAATGGAAAGCTTAGTGATACTTTTGAAGTGAAGACAGGAGTCAGACAAGACAAGATTGTTGCCTACTATCACTAATCATCTTCCTCATTGTGGTCGACTGGATCATACAAGAAACTGTGAGCAGCGAGAAGATGGGCATACACTGTTTGACCTAAGAAAAGACCCTACAACATTTGCATTTCGCCCATCATGATTTATGTCTAATGTCTTGTCTCACAAACTCGAAGATGCACAGGAGAATACCAACAAGTTGACAGAAGAGGCAGGGCAACCAAGGTGAGCGTAGAGAAAACAGAGGTGATGAAGATACCCAACCAACCACTAACAACAGCAACAAGCACCATTCATTATCAATGGGAGAAATCTGAAGGAAGTTGTCTCTCTCTCTCACCTACCTAGACAGCATGGTTTCAACTACATGCGGCGATGGCGGCACAGATGAGGATGTCAAAGCCACGATCAAAAAAAACAAGAAAAGCCTTCATTAATCTGAAATAATCAGTGTACAGATCTACTGCACTGCACTCAGCATAAGGCGTGAACAGCATCCAGATTTTCAGTGATTCAATATATGATGGTTTATACAAAGACTTGGAGCGTTATGAAAAGCATTTCCAACAAACTACAGGGATTCATCTATAGCTATCTACGCTCGATACTGAAGATTAGATGAGAAGGCGAAAAAGAAGAATAAGCAAGAAGGAACTCTGACTTGGCAACTAATCGACCAAGAACCTATCATCCAACAAATATACAGAAAAAGAAAGTGGAGATGGGATTGGATTGGACACAGACCAAAAAGATGATGTGGGGACATCACGTTTAAGGCCAGATGGTTGGGTGGAACCCAAAGAGGAAACGACGAGTTGAGTGTCCAAAGGTGACGACATGGAGGAGATGGTGTGAGGAAGAAATGAAAGGTTATGAGCAGTGGTGGAGCCACGTTGATAAGACCGGAGAGAAGAGAGTGAAATGGTGTCGTGTTATTGAAGCTCCATGTTGCACTAGGAACCCAAAGAACTAATAATAATTATAATAGTAATATATTTTTCAGATGAATACGGATTTTTCATTTAGAAGTAGTAATCATCATGGACTGACATCAGTTGGGGAACCATTGAAAATCTGGAAGCACTGGACAGCTGTTTCGTCCTAGTATGGGACTCCTGAGCAGTACGCACCCACGACCCGGCTAGTGCTCATTAGTGACTTGCTTCCAGATGGATGTTAGGAAGTTCTAATGAGAAGCCGTGACCTGTGGGGTCAACCAGTCGGAAGTGAAGTGGATGCTAACTGAAGGAAGACGTTGGGTGACAGTCAAGCTATGTCGTGAATTGACAGAAGTTGGAAATTGTGAACCGGTGGAAACCAACCCAGTGGCTGAATGGTTAACGCGTTCGCCGTGAAACCTCAAGGTCCTGAGTTCCACCCCTAGCCGAGTCGTGGGTGAGTACTGTTCAGGAGTCCCATACTAGTTGGACGAAACAGCTGTCCAGTGCTTCCAGATTTCCAATGGTTCCCCAACTGATGTCAGTCCATGATGAATACTGCTTCTATAATAATAATAATAATAATAATAATAATAATAATAATAATAATAATAATAATAATAATAATAATAATGTTTTGTAAGGAATTTTGTAAGCAATTCTTCGTATTGCGAACATTATGAGCACTATTGTAAGGTATACTATTATTTTGAAGTTTCCTTCTGGGTGTACTCACGAAGTAGACTGATGTTAACTTCAAAAGAAGCGGATAATTTGATGTTTGCTTGGTCGTCAGAATGTATATTTCGTCTCTTTTGAAACTGATCAAGTGAATATGAGCGTATACCTGCGATTGATGTTGTTCCCAGTGGAAGTCGAAGCGATGAGTACTGGGTTAGAATGTCACCATTAATATCAACTAGACTATAACGTAAGAAATTTTCGGACAGCATCAAGACATTCATATAGGAGCCTATCTGCTAACAGAATTCGAGTAATTCGACCCTGTTTACCAATGAGATGCTAATATTCATCATGGACTGATATCAATTGCAGAAACATTGAACAGCTGTTTCATTCCATTATGAGACTCCTCAGTAGTGAGCACCAACGGCTTCACCAAGTAACAAACGCTAGAAATTCAGATTTCCAGATAAGTATCCCTAAAGAACACAATTATACAGAATACTTTCGTAAGGAATTCGTTATTTTATGAAGTGATTGTCATAAAAGTATGTCTTCCCTTCATCTACGATATACATTTCGCTGATGACTTATGTCTAACGTCACACAAACTTGAAGATCTGCAGGAGAAAACTAACAAGTTGACAGAAGAGGCAGGGCAGCGAAAACAAGACTTCAAGTGAACATAGAGAAGATACCCAACCAACATCACCACCAACAACAACAACAAGCTCCAATCACGATGAACGGGAGAAATCTGAAGGAAGTAGCCTCCTTCACCTATCTAGGCAGCACTGTTTCAACTACAGGTGGCGGCACAGAAGAGAACGTCAAATCCAGCCAGGATTGGAAAAGTAAGACTGGCTTTCACTAATCTTGAATTAGTGTGGAGATCTACTGCACTTAGCATAAAGCGTGAACAACATCCAGATTTCCAACAGCAACGTCAAGTCAGTACCTCCGTATGGATCAGAGACTTGCCACATTACGAAAGGGATTTCCAACAAACTACAGACATTCATCAACAACTGCCCCTACGCTGGCTCCTTACTCAACCTCAAATCGCCAAAATAATAAGAATAAGCAACAAGAAACTCTGGCTGGCTGGCTAGCTGGCAACGAACCAACGAAGCAAGAACCTATCACCCAACAAACATGCACTGGAAGGAAGTGGAGGTGGGTTGGATTGTATTGGGCATACACTGAGAAGACCATTCAGGGACATCACGCGCCAGGCCACACTGTGAGTCGAATCGGAAGGGGAAACGACGAGTTGGGTATCCGAGGTGAGGGTGACATGAAGAAGATCATGCGAGGAAGAAATGAGAGGTAGTGGGTAGTGGTGGAACTAGGTTCAAAAAATTTCAGAGGACGGAGTGCACTGGAGGTGTGCTACTGAAACCGTATCTTCCATTAGGAACCTAAGGGACAAATAATAATAATGTAATAATACAAGGTGATTATTTGTATAACGATTTACTATTATATTGTAATATATTGTTAATATTTCTGAAAATGGGAACTAATTTAATTCAATATACAATACGGGTATACACATAGACATTAGTGTATATGGGTCCAAGAGGAAAATTGTATCAATGAAAAGAATGAAAGATAGATTTCTAAAGTAAGGTTATTGTAATGAATCTAGGAGTGATAATTTATTTCACTTATCTTAAATTATCCATAAACTGTGACAAAATTTTATCGAACAAAAGAATTTCAGAAATACGACTTTTATTTAGGATAGAAAGTTTATTTCAAACAAACTTCTACTATTACGTGAATTATTAAGTAGAAATGTTTCAGTGGTAATTGTTGTTTGTGTTTTCTTGTTGTTATAATACTAGAAGAAGGTAGCTTCTATCTCTGTGTGTGTGTTTGCAACTACAATATGTAATATCCACTGAAATAGAGACTGTGGTTTATTTGTCTTAGCAGTTAGATGGACTGAGGTAACTTAAGCATGTACTGCTCATGCCCAGTTATCACCTACTCCCTATTTGAAATTCTAGGAGAAACAGGATTGCAGGATACTACCTACTGTCTACAGAAAACCGACACATTTCAACAGGTAGGTATCTAGACTTCAAGTCATCTCATCCAATGATAGTCAGTGAAGGCAGGTTTAGTCAAATGACAGAGCCAGAAAACTGACTAATCAGTGCGACAACCTAAACAAGAAATTGAAACACATAAAAGAAGAACTATTAGGTGATAATTATCCTCTACAGTTTATTAGGAAATTTGTATGAACATACAAGAAAAGAAAAGATAACGACAACACGAGTAGAAAGGAGTTGACAGGCTCAATTGTATTACGCTGTAAAGAAGGTACATTAGAAACTTTACGTAGGATTCTCAACAAAGCTGGAATTAGAGTGTTACTCACATCAATAAACTCACTCAGAGATCAACTTTGCTTTTTTTATGTACCAGATAGAACCAATTAAGCAGAGTAATCTAATCTAACAAATCCCATGTAATGACTGTGAGTTAGGTGAAATACATAGGTGAAACTATCCGGTTGGGGTTAATTAGAATAGCAGAACATAAGAATTTACCTGAATATAGAATGACACACCCGAATAAGATGAATAATCTAGAAAGTGTATTGCAATACACGCGTTGATACAC